GGAATTTAAAAATTTTTTGTTTTTCTAACAATTATCCCCTAAACAGCATTTCCAATGGTGATAAATATTGTTACTATGTACTTATGTATTCCCTCGTATCTGAACACTTGTTGTTGCCTCACAAGAAAAAACAACTTTTATGTTAAAAATAAAGTCTGTACTTGAGAATTTTTTCTGTGCACTTTTATGAATATTGCCTCAACACAAATTTTATTTCTTTTCAGACACTTCTAATCTGAAATAACTTACAAATGGTTATTTATAACTTATAATATTTTTCACAAATTGATAGTAAAATGAGTTTGCATAAAGTTATAATATTGTTACTTTCTTGCTTACTTCACTTGCTCTAGAACTTAGTGTCTCATCTTTATTCTAAGTATCAAGTAATCATTAAAATATAAGCAAGGACATCAAGGATCTATGTAATTTGATACTTCATAGTTTGTTAAGAGATAGAGCTGGAGCATCAGTTTCATTCTAAAGTTCATGTAGACGATTATCAATTTTTTTTTTTTTTTTTTGTATTTTCACTGTTGCTAAACCTCTGGTGTTCTTCCTTTGTAACAGTGATTTATATATGCAAAAGAAATATTTTGGCTGTGAGGGGTTTAGTTTGTACCCACACAACAGATAAAGACAACATGAAGGATAATCAATTAGAAAGCAGGGACACCTTTAAATGAAGTAAAAAAAAAAAAAAAATACCACATATGAAGAGACATTTCACCAAAGAAGAAGATATACAGATGGCAAATGAGCACATGAAAAGATGCTCATCAACATTAGCTATTAAAGAAATGCAAATTAAAATCACAATGAGATAGAATTACATGCCTGTCAGATGGCTAAAATAAAAATGATGGCAACACCAAATGTTGGCAAGGATGGGGAGAAACTTATCATCCACACATTGTTGGTCAGAATTTAAAATGTCACACCCACTCTGGAAAAGAGTTCTACAGTTTCTTATAAAACTAAACATGGAACTATCATACAACCCAGCAATTGTACTTGCTAGCATATGTCCCAGGGAAATGCAGGCTTACATACAAAAACCTGTACATGAATGTTCATAGTGCTTTATTAGTAATAGTGAAAGCCTAGAAACAACCTAAACGTCTTCCAGGAGGTAAAACTTTAAACAGTGATACAGCCATACCATGGAATACTACTTAACAATAAAAAGAACAATTTATTGATACAACAACTTGGAAGAATTTCTAGAGAATTAAATCCCCCCAAATTATATACTGTGTGATACCATTTATAGAACATTCTGTGTATGGACAAGCTTACAAATACGGAGAATAGATTAATAATTTTTAAGGGTGAAGGAGATAAGGAAGTAGATATAACTATAAAAGGCCATCAAGAGGGACCCTTATGGTGATGGAATGTATCACTGTCAATATTCTGGTCATGACATCATTGTATAGTTTTCCGAGATGTACCACTGGGGAAAAGTGGGTTAAAGGCTACACGGGATCTCTTGTATTTATTACAACTGCATGTAGATTTACAATTACCTGAAAACAAATTTTAATTAAAGTCACCACAACTGTCATAAATTACTTTGTAAAAAATTCTAAAAATTATTTCTGGGAGAAAAGTTAACCAGAATTTGGGGGAAACTAATGTGTACATTATTACATTGTAAGTTAACATTGCATCATATGCAGAACTCAAATTATACAGTTTTCTCCCTTTTTTTTCCCTACTGCTCCCTTTATAGAAGCAGTTTTCAAGTTGGTTGTTCCTCTCTTCCCCATTTTTTTTTCTTTACTTTGATTAATAATCATGAAATATATCCCCAAGTATTTTTAGGTCTATAATGACCCTTTTCCTTAAATTACTTTTAAGTGTTTCTGAGGGAAATGCTTATAGTTCCCTGCCAGTATTTATCAATATCAGTTTGTTTTTTCCTTGTTAAGATCTTTATACTTTTAAAATGTCTTTATTTAAAACCTCTCTTAGAAAATGCTACAGTACAAATAGCTTTTGTATCTCTTTGGTACTGTTTTTTCTAATTGAGTCTTGAATTCAGTGTATCCAACCAACATTTTTTAAATTAAAACTATAGAAAACATAAATACACTTATACATAAGTAGTATTCCTCTGTAAAAGTTCTGCTAGACATTGAGATGCATACTAGGTTATAAAGTAATATGTATTTCTTATTGTGAGTTGTAATCAAAACAATTTGAAAAGTACTATTTATTGTTCTGGACACAACTTTTATATATCTCTCTTTGGGTTGGTCTGCTATCTTAATATAGAATGAGACCAGAATATTTAAGACATGTTTTTCTACTCCTTTTGAATGTCTTCATATTGCTGGTTTTGTTTAAAAAATAAAGTTCTGTAATTTGCATTTTCCTCAATTTCTCTCCATATTGTCTAACTTTGATGTTATAAACTAGTATTACTAGTCATGCTAAATCATTGTTTTAAGGAGAACTACCATGGAGGCTCTGATAGTTAAAAACCAGGAGTGTAACACATCCATCTAAAATGCATACACCTTCAGCAGTTGTTTCTGAGATCCTTAGGAGATACAGGAGAAAACCTGAATTTAGGGCCACCATTTAGGCACTAGTTTGACTCTGTAGTTTATGGTTATGAGATCTTAGGCAAAGAATTTCCATCTTTGAATCCCAGTTTTCTTAATTATGTGATGATGGAAATGCTGGTAATAGTGCTGTCAGTTAAATGTCTAACAAATAGGAAAATAGTGCTTAACATAAAATGGGAGGCAGACATTCATTATCAGCTCCTTTATGTTTTGTTGGTAAGTTTATTCATTGCTTAGGAAAGCCAAACGTTTTTGGTCTTAGAAAATGGTGCTATGAAATTCCTTTTAGCTTGTAAAATGTAAGTATATCATTAAGGATGTTGAGCTGAAATCATAATAAAAAATAAGGTAACGCTAATAGCTCTTTTCAAGTGCCAGGCCTTTAAATTTTACTCTTCACCCTAATTTTTATAATAATCCTATGATGCCAGATGCTGCTATTTTACTATTAATGAACACATTGGAATTAGATTAAGTAACTTATCTATGGTCATGTATCAGGGGAATGTCAAAGTCTGTCTGTGAACAGACTCTCAAACTTAACCACCAAGCCTTTCTGCTGCTTCTCCTTTAATGGTAAATAAATAAAATATAGGTGTTTAGTATTGTAGATTATGTGATTCAAGTCTTCTTTGTGGTCCTCTTTATTGCTTAAACTGCTGGCAGAATGGTTCAAAGGGCCAAATGAAAGTAAGCTGGCCAGACACCAGTTCCTAACCAAGGAAGTCAGTGACAACTCCTCAAGCTCTCTAGATTTAATGTTACTATTATAACTAGAATTTTGAGAAAAATTTCTTTTAAGTTAGGGAGCACATCTTTTAGAGATGCAGAAAATTACTTCAATCAACATTTTTTATTTTATTTTTTTGCTTTTTGAGGAAAAGAATTACAAAAGTAATTTTTTAAATCTCAACAATTTGAGGGTCTCCCTGGTGGCACAAGGGGTTAAGCACGCACTGTGAAGCTATCCACAACCTTTGTAGCACAGTTTGATCCCGGCCTGCCAGGGAGCTACCCACATGGTGCAGCAGATCTCTCCTGTCTCGCCTGCTGCTCCCCTCAGCAGTGTATTTCAGTCAGTCTGCTTGTTCTGTTCCCCACTCTGTCTCTGGTGAATCCTCTTACCCCCTGCACCTCTGGCCTGTACCCTAGTTCTTGTATGCATAAATAAATAAATCTTTAAAAAAAAAAACTCAACAACTTGATATGCCCAGTTTAGATAGACAACATGAAATCATTTGGGTCATAGTTTAATACATGAGAGCACCAAAGCCCTAAAAAATAAGAGAATCTATAGTAAGATTTATTTCTGGGTAGTAGGGATATGGTTGATTTCTTTCCCATCTAGTTTTTAGTATTTTCCAGACTTATAAATGAGACGGCATTACTTTAAAATGGAAAAAAAAAAAGGAAATATTTTTATTTAATGTTAAAACAATGCACTTCAAAAGCTTACCTATTAGTAGCAATCTGTGCTCCTTTTTGTATTTACTCTGGCCACTGTGTGGTTTATTTATACCAGTGCCCAAAGTATCATGTCTTGACTCTAAATACCAAGGACAGTTTTTATTGAACTCTTCAGCCTTTTAAAAATGGCACTCAAAAGATGGAAGAACACATTTTGTGTTGAATTTATGGATGCAACTCATCCTGAGGAACATTTTTCTTCCCATCCTGTTTTATAGGTTTATTTTCATATATTTAAATACCTTGCCACTGGGTCTCCCTGATAGCACAAGGAGTTAAGTCTCACATTATGAAGCTATCGCCAGACACTGCAGCATGAGTTAGATCCCCAGCCAGGTTGCTGACCCACATGGTGCAGTAGACCTCTCCTGTCTTGCCCACTGCTCCCTTCAGCAGTGTATTTCAGTGGATCTGCCCGTTCTGCTTCCCACTCTGTCTGTGGTGAATCCTCTCTCCCCTCCCCTACACCTCAGCCTGTACCCCAGTTCTTCTACATAAAAATAAGTAAAATTTTTAAATAAATAAATACTTTGCCACTATATGTTTTAAATTCATTACTTTCAGTACTGCTGAACTAGTTAATATTTTAAAGTTTGTACTTCTTTCCAACTCTAATTTCTATATCCTATAATTCTGGGGTTGCTTCATTGCTCAAAGTTAAGGAAATGCAGGGCTATGCCAAAAATGCTATGAAAGACAATACTGGATCAGTTCTTTCTTTTTATCCCTGCCTTCAACAAATCAGGTTTATTTCTTATATTTAATTGATTATTGTTTCTAAACTCAGTTTTGATATTTTGTTATTCTGTTATTTCCCTTGACTTACAAGTCCTGTATGAAGAATTAGTTTCACAAGGATATTAATTTTCTACTTTTATTTTCATTTTTTGGTTAATCAACTTTCCTATTACTATGTTCATGATGTAAAACCCAAGTTTCTGAATAGGGAAACACAATGATTAGATCTGTATTGAATACTTTAGGAAATACACTTTTTTGGTTTGATGCCATTTAGTAATCTTTATTAAAAGAGGCTCAGAAAAATAGAGCACTTTCAAACTCCTTTGTTCTTATAAGACTTAATCTTAAGATACTTATGTGAAATATCGAGTTGAAATACAAACACTCATTTTGCAAATACTGAAACCTCTTTTTTTAATACAGTTTCTAGTCATATCAGAGCTATATTTTACAATTAAGGAAGGATTTCAAAAAATACAAAGTTATGCTAGTCTGATCTTAATATGCCCTAGTGTTCCTGCTGCTTTCTTGTAAAGTGATTATAGAAATATTAGCAAATTTTAGTTCCTTTGGGACTTTGTAAGGTTAAATGAATTATCTCATTCCAAATAGATCAGTATTTCCCCCCATTTAATGTAAAAAAGGCATCCATTTACCTTTGGTAAAGGCTAGTTAACTTATCTTTTACTGAATGGTTGATCTAGAGTTAGACAAATAGCGACTGATCCCCTTTCTGTTCTGTGTTTATTCTTTATTTTACTCCCTTCTGAATATCTGGTTGGTTTCCTATATAGTAATCTTGTTGTAATGTAGCTAGATTTTTATTTTTGGCCTCTAAAATTACTAAAAAAATACGAGTAGTTACCTTCCTTTTAATAAAGTTTTTAAGGTACTCTTCAAAAATATGTTAGTCTTACTGAAGTTATAACTGGGCTTGCTAAGTGCAGATAATCTTGCTTTCAGGTTTAATGGGCAACACCTATTGTGTGTTGAAAGGAAAAAGAAACTTTGGAACTGAATAATAAAAATTCCTAGCTGTTTCTATTTTTTTGAAAACCTCTGCTCTTGGAAAATTGAGGGCATATCCCTTCACATTCGTAGTCTTGAGATTCAGGCTGGCAGAGGCCAGTGGTTTTCCTCTGCTTTGAGGTGTGTCTGTTTATACCAGAAAACAGGAACTGCATTAGTGACAGAAAATTAGTGAAGAAAAGTGGCACAAACTCAACGCAAAGTTAGGTTTTTTTTTTTTAAATACTCAAAATTAAGAGCATCACCATAGATAGATGATTTAGATTGTATTCATCTTAATCTTCGGTGACTGAATCTTGGCAGAATGGCAGTACTGCATTCTGGGAAGTTACACTAAATAAAAAGGAAATGTTAAAAAAAATACTGAGGGATAAATAACAGCTCATTAAAAACAAACAAGAAAATAGGAGTAATCATGTGAAAAAATTTAAGACTTCATAACCTTTTCCTTTTTCCATGTTTCTGACCCTCAGATAAGGTCTTTCCAGCCTATGTAGTACTTGGCCATAGTGATTTTTCTGGAGAGGTTGTGGGAAGCTCAGAGAGTTATGCCCTCTTAATTGCATTTTATCTGCTCTGCTCCAATGCTACAAAACATTTTTTTATATACAATGATTTGGATATTATAAGCAAGTCACTAATAATAAGCTTATTTAGAACTAGCAGTGCATGAAAACTACTGTAAGCAACTTAATTAAAATGTTTTCTTACAGAGATGCTGTGGACTGGATGACAAAAGCCACCTGGAGAACTGCCTCCCAACTAAAGATGTGCAAGGAGAGAGTGTAGGAAAATTGCGTGACATGTATATATAGTGGCTATGTTTTTGTGAGCTTGCACTAACTGCCATTAAATTGCCTTCCTCCAGTACTTAAACTGTAACCCCTCTAAGAGTAACAGTTTATCCTTAGAGTAATATAGAGCCACAGATGTCAGTCACAGAAAAGGAAAAGGGAGAAAATGAGACCCTCCCTCCCTTAACCGTGTGGAGCTGTCTGTAACTCTGCCAGAAGATATTCTGGATTAAATCACATCAAGAATATGGGGTAAGTATGCTTGTATGTATAAGGATAAGGTGTTCAGAATTGTTTTTCCCACATTCAGGTCGAAGTTTTTGGGTGATTTCTGGAATACTATTGCCAGTTGCTTAGGGAGTGTCCTCCCTTGTTTTTAGGAAGAATATGAATACTGCACATTACTGCAGCAATGTAAAAAATTGGGCCTGAGGATCCCTGCACAATGTCTTGAATATTTTAGGACATTCTTACTGTTTATAAGCTGGGATGAGAATTTTCCATTTTTACAGAGATGGACTTTAATAAATCAATCACCCTGATACTTCTCCATGAAAATTCAATAATGGAATTGAGGAATGTCAGTGATTTTGTTTTAAGGAAAAAGCCTAAGTAGTATCACATTTTAGCCTCCACGTGGAGAAAACAAGCACCAAGTTTCTCTTTGATTTCATTAAAGCAAATTGAGTTGTCAAATCTTATTCTACCTTTCTAATGAAAAAACAAAAGTTGTCTGGTTCTAGTGCTATTTTCCAGAACAGAAAATTCCCTCAGTCAATGTTTTATTTAAAAAGCCAACCCCAGTCACAACCCAATTTATATGTGTCTTTTATCCAAATAGAAAATTATCAGCCAGCAAGGCAATTTATACATAAAAGACTTTCCAAATAAATAAGTCCAATTCCTTATTGACAGAATTACTTCTAGCTATTATTTTGAAATAAATTTTGGTATCTATTTCATATTCAATAGTTTCTAATATTTTCCACATATTATCAATAGCTGCATATCCAAGATAATAAAGAGATACTTAATCTACTCGTGGTTCTTACCATCTGCCTAAAGTTGGTTGCCAAGTGTTATATTTGCAAACATGATGCTTTGTGTATGGGTTAAAATATAAAGTCCTTTCCACAAAGGCATATGTTGCAAAAGTGATGTCTCAAGGCCATTGAAGTGACATTATATTTTCAGTCAAGCATTAAGAAGTTCATCATCTGAGTGTCCAATAGCATCTGGGTTTGAAAGTGGATCCAAGTCTGCAAATAGATTGAACCAGGCTGACATGTCTTGGTTACCATTTTTGGGAGCTGTAAAAAGAAAAATAACACATTAAAGAGTCAGCTTTCTGAAATCACATTACTGTACCACTTTCATGATTCTGAAGTAGATATTTCTTTTGAATCAAAAACTAAAACAACTGACAAGAATAAATGATCAAAGTATAATGCTAATTACTAGGTGCTGGGGGGAGGGTTAAATGGAGGAGGAGGAGTTTAATGGGTATACAGTTTCAGATTTGCAAGATGAAAAAGTTGTGGTCTGTTTCACAACAATGTATATATACTTGAGTATAGCTAAGATGGGAAATTTTGTATTAGGTGTTTTCTACAATAAAAAACAAATGTGGAGGGAGTGTGGGGATTAGAAAGTCTGCACCAGGCAAACAGCAGCAATGGATGCTAATCCAGATGGAAATTCTGATAAAGAGTAGGATGTGTGCATGGTTGCAAAGTGTCTCCCCACACACTACTTGTTAATTGCAAAAGAGAATAAAATAGTAATTATGTAGGAGAAAAGTGGACAACACCCTGAATGGTCAAAGTTAACATCAACAATGAGGGAGCATGAGCATAAGCTTTCAGGTGTGAATTCCTGAGAAAGGGTATCACCTATTCTAGACAATAATGAATAACCCTAATTTAATGATGAGGAAATCTCAGCTCAAACTGAAATAAGGTGCATGCTACTGAAAACAAAAAACAGTAGGCCAGAGGGGCTGTATTCTATTCAATATGCCCATGTCCAAAAATCAAAAGTTGTGGAAATGTTTCAGATTAAAGGAAGCTAAAAAGACATGAAAGCTGAGTACAACACATGACCTGTACCAGAGGGGGAAAGTGCTTTAAAGGACATTACTGGGTCAACTCACAAAACTGGGATACAAATACATGATAGATTTATACAAAAGTTTTTTTTTATTTTATTTATACAAGCACTGGGTACTGTCAGAAGCGCGGGATGGTGAGAGAATTCACCAGAGCCAGAGCGGGGAGCAGAACAGGCAGAAGGACCGAAGTACACTGCTGAGGGGAGCAGCGGGCGGCAGGAGAGGTCTGCGCGCCATGTGGGACCCTCCTCTGGTGGCCCTGGAACGAACCGGCGCTGCAGAGGCTGCGGGCAGCTTCGCAACCCAGCACTCAACCGCTGCGCCACCGGGGAGGCCCGATTTATACAAAAGTATTAAGTTTAAACAGTAGATCTCCCTTATTAGTGGGGGATAAATTCTAAGACCTCCCCCCAGTGAATGCCTGAAATTGCAGATAGTATATATAGTGTTTGGTACTATGTTTTTTCTTATACATGTGTACTTATGGTAAAGTTTAATTTATAAACTGGACATAGTAAGACTAGCAGCAATAATAAAATACAGTTAATAATATACTATATGAAAGTTACATGAATGTGGTGTCTCAAAATGTCTTATTGCATATATTATATTCAGACTCTGGTTGACCTCGGGTAACTGATACCCTAGATTGTGGAGCTGTGGATAAGGGGAGACTATTGTATTAAATTTCCTTATATTTACAATAATACTATAGTTAGGCAAGAGAATATACCTGTTTTTAGGAAACAAACTAAAGCAGGGGTAAACGGTTATAATGTATGTAACTTATTCTCAATGTGTTTCAGAATAACATAACACAGAGGTCTACCTGAAGTACATGAGGTAAAATAACAAACAGGTGAGCCTGGCTAAAGAGTATACAGGTGTTTATGCTATTTCCATTTATGCAAGATTTTTGTATAAATCTATCATGTATGTTTGAAATTCTGTCTAATTAAGTTTTAAAAACCCTCATTAGTGGCTAAGATTAATATGTATCTAAAATTCTATAAGACAGTGTGTTTAGGGCCTCCCCGGTGGTGCAGCGGTTGGGCGCTGGGTTGCGAAGCTGCCCGCAGCCTCTGCAGCACCAGTTCGATCCCCGGCTACTCCCCGGCCACCGGAGGAGGGTCCCACATGGCGCGCAGACCTCTCCTGCCGCCCGCTGCTCCCCTCAGCAGTGTACTTCGTCACTCTGCCTGTTCTGCTCCCCGCTCTGGCTCTGGTGAATTCTCTCACCCTCCCGCGCTTCTGACTGTACCCAGTGCTTGTATAAATAAATAAATAAAAATAAATCTTAAAAAAAAAAAAAGACAGTGTGTTTATTTTCTATGTATTCCCTACATGGTAATTACAACATGGACTAGCTGTGCAGCTAATATAGTAAATATTCAATATATACTAGCAATTGCTATATGCCGGGCCCTATGAGATCAATGCATTCTTTGTGCATCAAAGAGCATCTTCTATCCATAATAGCAGTATCCATTATCAGCAAATCTTAACACAAAATATAAAAAATTACATTATAGAATTTAGTTTACTACAAGTTCACAATTTCTATTCAATTCGTTCTATGGTTAGAGATAACCAGGTATAGCTTCCATTTTATCTAATTAATAACAATATTTTTCTGGACAATATGTAGTAAAGACTATACAGTGATCCTTTTCTAAATGTATCTGAAATCAACTGTTAACATAAAGGTAAAATAAATAACTTACATCTTGTTAATTTCTTTGGACTTTGTGAAGGCACTAGCTGGTTGTCAGTGTGTGAAAGAGGAAGTTCTAATCCCCTTTGGGAGGCCCAGCCTAGGGAGAGAGAAGTAATGAATTATCTACCGTCAATCAAGTATGAAGTAGCATCAGAAAAACAAGAAAAGGTAAAAATACCTTATAATTCGTCCTGTATTTGTACGAGGCTAAGATTCTACTGTATAAGAAGTATAAAATATTTAAAATTTATTACATATTTTGTTTAAATTATCTCACTTTAGTCCCACAGTTCCTTATATTTTTCAAGGTACTTTCGAAATGACATAATTTTTTTTTTCTTTTTAAACAGCTGCAAATGGATAAGGTATTTGAGGAGAAGTCCTGACAAGTTAGGAAGAAAAAAAATAAACCTGGCAATTAGAATCTTGAAACATAGGGGGAAGGGTCCCAACAAATGATCTAGGGTAAAGGATGATGGGTTCTTTGATGGTGCTGGTAGTGTGGTAACATACAGATAAAGAGGTGTGAATCTGTTCCCCTAAATGCACAGTGTTATAAATCAATGTGACCTCAACAAAGGGAGGAAAAAAATCTTGATACCTATAAATATGTTTATATACTTAAACTCAGTAATCCCATTCCTAGAAATTTATCTTAAATAATTCAAAAGGAAAAGGTGCATGCATGATTATGTTTACTGCATGATTGTTTACTGTACATTTATAAAATGAAAAACTAGAAACAGGAAGGATTAAGTAGATTGCAATGCATTAATATGACAAAATATTGTTGTCGTTAAAAAGTAACATGAATACTCTGATAATACAGGAAAATGTTTGCTGTAACATAAAATTTTTTTATGCTATAATTAAATTGCAGCACTAGGCAGGAATTTAAATTATCCTGCCTAATACCTACCTTTTTATAGAAGAGATCATTTGAGGCCCAGGTCATTACATGGTATTCTTAGAACACAGATCTTTTAACTCAAAGGGCAGCTCTCTTTTCTAGACTTATAGGGAAGGCCAGATTGTGAATTTAATGCTTAGACTCCATTACTGAACATCATAAGTCAAATGAGAGACACAAGCAAAGATGTCTCAGAGATCTGAAAATACTCAATATAGATGTGGAAAATGGTTAAGAATTTAAAGTAAGAGATAAGAGCAGAAATGAAGGTGCAGGCAGATTTTATTCTGGAGCATACAGTGTTCATTTTTTAAAATTGTAAAGCAGGGCACTGATATTAGAATCTGCTCTTGGAAACAGAACACTAGAGGAAGTGTGGAAGTAAACTGGGGACTGGGAGGCCCATTAGGAAGACTTTTGCAGCAGCCCAGAAAAATAAATGGGTCTGCTAATGGAGACTGAGAAGAGTGGGGAATTTGAGAACTGTCTCAAACAGAGTTCATAGGACTTAGTAGCCAATATAGAAAGGGGGTTGAACATAGGATGGCAGAGCCAGCAGGTGAGTGGATGCAATCCTTGACATATAAACAAAGCAGGTGATCCTTTCCTCAGGAAAACACTCTGCCTTTCCCCTCACTCCCACCACCACTTTCACCACAGCCCTCCACTCCTGCTATCTTGCTCAGAAGGCTGGTATGGAAACAGCTTCCAGAGCTGTTGTATTGGCTGTACTTCACCCTGAATCCACAGAAGGCGAAAACACCAAATTTTGCTAGGTAGAAGAAAGAGTATCACCTGCCCTAGGTCGGGGTAACTGAGCAGGTCAAGAGTTTTAAACAGGACACCAATTTTCTTTTCTTTTCTTTTTTTTTTTTTTTTTTTTTTTTTTGAAGATTTATTTATTTATTTATATAAGCACTGGGTACAGTTCGAAGCGTGGGAGGGTGAGAGAATTCACCAGAGTCAGAGCGGAGAGCAGAGCAGGCAGACTGACGAAGTACACTGCTGAGGGGAGCAGCGGGCCGCAGAAGAGGTCTGCACGCCATGTGGGACCCTCGCCGGTGGCCGGGGATCAAACCGGCATTGCAGAGGCTGCAGGCAGCCTCGCAACCCAGCTCTCAACTCTCAACCGCTGCGCCACCGGCGGCGGGGGGACACCAATTTTTGATATTTTCCCAGTTGACTGGTGTAACCAGATTTTATCTAGTAGTACTAAAGATAATCTCCTTGATTTTAGCATCAACACACATACAATTTTGCTTCGCAGAGATAAAATAAGGCACAGGTATTCAGTTGTTTCATAGACACTTACTGTTGAAAGCTCCAGCAGCATGAAGGCCAAGGTCAAAGAGTTGTGAAGGAAGAAATCCAGAAGAATGAGGTTCAGATCCCATAGAAGGTTCCTGGGAAGTGAAAGAGGCCTTGGGGCTTCCAAAGGCAGTTTGGCATTCTTGAGTAAATTCATTAGTATTTGAAGATCCAGGACTTAGGAGGTTGTTCAAAAATGAGAATTCTCTCTCAAAATCTTCTTCCAATGAGTCTACAGGTAGATGTTTTGCAACTGTCAAGTGAAAATAAAAACAATGGCTGTTTTCTTTTTGAGGAAATGAGAAAGGACAGAGAACAAATCAAGTTTGTTTCATTGTTCTCATAGTTAACAATATTTAATGAACAAAGTATGTGTAAATTATTTCAAATTTTGGCAGGCTATAGATCAAAATGACCATATTTCATAATGAATATATAACCATTATGAATATATGTATGAAATAATTAAGCAATCACACATGTAAGACAGAAACTACAAAAGATGCAAGAAGAAATAGAAACAGTTAATATACCAGTTTCATTAAAAAGCTGTCCCAGAGGACAAAAGTAAAGAAACAAAAATTCCAAACAGAATAATCAATAAGTTATTTTGAATATATATAAGCCCAATAATAGAAAATATAACTTTTCCCAAGCATTGAAAATTCACAAAAATTGATTATACTAAGGCACACAAAATAATCAGTTTTCTGACTTATAAATAAGTCAGAAGGAGAAAGACAAATACCAGATGGTTTCACTTCTATATGAAATATAGAGAAACAAAACAAAGGGTCAGACAGAACCAAACTATAACAAATCCTTTATACCTGACTGCAAAACTGAAGTAACCAGAAGGGGGATGTGGAGGAGGAAAGGGCCCAATGGAGAATGGTGAAGGATTATTAGGGCTTTGGTGATGGACATGGTGTGGAAATAGACATTTGTAAAGGTTTGAACCTATATCCCATAAAACATATGTAATGCTGTAAACCAACTTTATCTCAGTAAACATAAATGGACGGGATAAAATGCTCTGCTTATAATATAAAATGAAATAATTTTAAAAATGAGCAAAAAAGGTTCTTCCACTTGTAAATTTTTTTTTTTTTAAAGATTTATTTATTTATTTATTTATTTATACAAGCACTGGGTACAGTCAGAGGCGTGGGAGGGTGAGAGAATTCACCAGAGCCAGAGCAGGGAGCAGAGCAGGCAGAAAGACCAAAGTACACTGCTGAGGGGAGCAGCGGGCGGCAGGAGAGGTCTGCGCACCATGTGGGACCCTCCTCTGGTGGCCCGGGAATGAACTGGGCTGCAGAGGCTGCGGGCAGCTTCGCAACCCAGCGCTCAACCACTGCGCCACTGGGGAGGCCCCCACTTGTAAATTTTTAAATCTTCTATTAAACAAGAATGGAACAAACAAGAATGGTTGAAAGAATGGAAATCCTGAAAAATAGTGATAGAAGCATTTCATGATAATCCATACGTAACAGGAAAAATTAAATACTTTTTTCAATAAAAATCAAACAGGCCACCTTCATGATAAATGAGGGTTTCCATGGACCCAGATGCCAGTTTTTAAATAACTCATGAAAATTATTTTTAAAACAACAATTTAAAGTCTCCAGAAATGTCTGATAGACACACAGCAAAAGAAGAAACATTTACACAAGAAATTCCATTAAAATTCAGAGAGACTAGTGAGAGACTGGCATTTGAACTGAAAAACTACGCCCACTCTCCTCCCAGTTCAGCAAGATGTATAAGGGAGGAAAATCATTTTTCCTCTACCCTTTTAGATCTTAGCTGAGAGGCCCCCTCCATATTAAAAGGCAGATTAAGAGAAGAAATATTTAAATGCTATGTATGGGGACCTTGAGATATGGGATATAAAGAAGTGATCAAAACATTCAGTTTTTCTTTTTTTTTTTTTTTTTTTTTTTAAGATTTATTTATTTATGCACATAAGACCTGGGGTGTAGGCCAGAGGTGTGGGGCAGTAGGGGACAGGGGGTGGTGAAAGGATTCACCAAAGACAGAGTGGGGAACAGAACAGGTGGACTGGCTGAAATACACTGCTGAGGGGAGCAGGAGGCAAGACAGGAGAGGTCAGCTGCGGCATGTGGGTCACCTCCCTGGCCTGCTGGGGAATCCAACTCATGCTGCAGTGGCTGATAGCTTGCTAGTTCTGTCTTGAATCCTGCACAACCACGGAGACCCAAAACATTGTTTTTTAAACCATTTTAACAAGGAAACAAATGTGTGAAGAATTGACAAGACAAAGAATTTTAGGTTTAGGGTAATAAATAAGTAGCAGAGTTTGTTTAAACAGTTGCAATCCTCAGTTCCCATTCTGATAAGGAAGTCTCTCTACCTCCTGGTAGAGGGAAGGTACCTTTCACAGCAAGGGATTTATCTCCTGCTTTCAAGGATGAAGGTTAGAGTGTTCTTGTATGGCTGTTTCTTAAGTAACTTTAATTCAAAATAACCAATATGCAAAGTGGAATACTATGGGGCAGCTTGCCCTGAACCCTTTCAATGAAAATTCCACTTCAGCTTGGGTAGCCAAAAACACAGATCTCTTCCTGGAATCCCCAGCATTCAGGCAAGAGCTATCTTCCCAAAAGTAGTAGTATGTCAGTATTTCATATTCTGCCCTTAGTTACTGCTGCTAAGGCTAAGTCCTGGGGAGCACAGCCAAGAGGTGAAGGCTCCTTCTCTCATCAAGACCCAGTCAAGAAAGCAGAGACTGACTTGGCTGGGACATGCTGACAATACAGGGTTCTGATCACTCAACTCTACTCATAAGGTGGTAGCTTCATGCAGGAATAAGTAAACCAAAACCTAAGCTACTGTCATTTTCTTTACTTAACACCCAGTTGCTAGAGCAAGGGTATTACAGAGAAATGTATCATTGTCCCCAACCCCAGGTCAAGCCCTAATTCAAGGATTTTGCCTGCAAAGAAAAACAGATTCTCACACAATGTTGTCTAAAGGAACTGACAACATTTGGAAGTGTGTGTAGAAGTTCAACCATTTTGGAGAGAATGTTCTCAAAAACAATGGAGATTGTGGTGATAGGCCAATTGATTCATTGGACTTATAGGATAAGCTGTATACCAGCTAGTTTGCCTAAAAGAACCAGGGAAGAGCCAGCCTAGAGTAAGAACAAATCTCAAAGGTTGGCCTTGCAAACTGTATTTTCAAAGGAGTCCAAATTCGAATGGCTTTTGTTTGTGGAACAATTTATGGTTCAGGGCATTCTTGAAAACAATAGAACAATCAGCCACAAATGAGTGGAGTTTAAAGACTGAGTATTGTTAGGGAAAGAAACTGTCAAAGAGAACCCATCCAAAACCACATAATCCTAGGGTGACCATGGGCATACTCATATATCATAATGAGTTCTTCTGTTAGGGATGGAGTGAAAGGAGAAACAGACTCCACTGAAATAATCTAGCTTATTACTAAGCAAATATAAATAAGTCCCAGAGGTGTGAACTAGTACCCAAAGTCGCTAAAATGTATTATCTAAAATGTCTAGTTTCCAACAAAAAACAAAGCATGCAAAAAAACAACAACAACAACAAAAAAAAAACAAAACCCAGGGAATTGTGACCCAAGACTGGCGAGAAGGCAGGCAACAGAAACTGCCTGGAGAGTGTTGCTGTTAGCAGACATAGCCTTCATAGTAGCCCTTATAAAATACTCAGAGAACTAAAGGAAAGTATGATTACAGAAGCAAAGGAAATGAGGTCATGGATGTGTTAGATGAGGAGATCCTTTCACAAAGTACAATTGACCCTTGAACAATGTGGGAGTTAGTGGCACCTCCAACCACCAGCAGCCAAAAATCCATGTATAACTTTTGATTCTCCCTGAACTTAAATTATAACAGCCTGTTGTTGACCAGGACCTTACCAATAACATAAACATCAACTAACACCTATTTTGTATTTATAATTCATTAAGTGGGAGAGGATTATCATAAAGGTCTTCATTCTCATAGTCTTCACGTTGAATAGGCCGAGGAGCAGGATGAAGAGAAGGGATTGGTCTTGTCTCAGGGGTAGCAGAGGTGGAAGAGTGGAGGAGGTAAGAGAGGAGGCAGATACTGCCATGAGAGGAGCCATGCAACTTTACAGAAATACAGTGTAATTTCTAAGTTTTTTGCTTTTTTCTTTCTCTAAAATGTTTCTATATGGTACTAATCCTTCTTCTGACATTTGCTTTCATTTTAGTATCCACATATCATAGGAAGATCCATGTCGAAAAGGAGTCAAAAGCAGTCTTGAATAATTGGCACCCTCCGCCAAATCGTTTTGTCAATTTGTTTTCCAGCCTTGTGTCTACATCTTCCTCCTCACCTGGCACTGGTATGGAAGTACCCATCTCCATTAAGTTGTCTTCTTTTAATTCTTCTGGTGTGGTGTCTAGTAGCTCTTGAATTTCTCCAGTCTCTATAAAACCCCTCACCACCACCACCCCCCCTTTTTTTTTCTGTTTCTTCAATCTCTTACGTGATTCTGACTGGCTCTGTTGCAAACCCTGTGAAGTTATACACAATATCTGGACAGTTTACTCCAGGGGGAATTTGTTTCAGGCTTGATAGTTTTCATGGCTTTTTCTATAGCAGTGATGGCATCTTCAATGGTGTGATCCTTCCAGTCTTCCTTGATGTTCTCTCTACTAGGGTTCCTTTCCATAGAGCACTGTGAATCTTAAAGGTCCTTATGAGCCCCTGATCAAGAGGTTGCATTAGAGATGTGTTTGGGGGCAATTACATCACCTTGGTGCCTTCATTGTTGAAATCCATGGGGTTCTGCATGTTCAGGAGCACGTCCAATTTAAAGAACTTTAAAAGGCAATCTTTTACTGGCAAGGTACCTCCTAATTTCAGGGACAAAGCATTTAGTGGAACCAAACCAGAAAAAGCGTTCTTGTTGTCTAAACCTTCTTGTTGTACAACCAAAAATCTGGCACTGGTGTTTATATTTTCCCTTCAAGGTTCAAGAATTAGCAGATTTATAGATAAGGACAACCCTGGATCACAGACCTGACTTCATTGGCGCAAAAAAGTGTGAGTTAGCTCATCCCTTTCTGCCTTAAATCTTGATGTTTGCTTCTCTTCCTTGCTCTACTAAATGTCCTTTGTGGCATTTTCATCAGCATTAAAAAACCTGTTGAGACAAATATGCTTTCTCTTCAATGACTTTCTGCTCTGCCTCTGAGAACTCATTTGCTTCCTCC